TCATGCCTCTACAGGATACAGATCTCTCCCCCTCTATCTCAGTTGTCTGCTCTGCTGTCTCACCTAACAACTCTGCCTTTACATCTCAACACCTACTGTAACCATCTATCTCCTTCTCTGCTGAGAATCAGATCCGCACTCTCCAATCTGTCTCTCCTGTGCCACAGATCCACACATGTCCTGACATGTGAGCCTTCATGTCTTTTTCACACCTCTCTATCCCTTTTCTCATTTTATCCCATCTTTCATTCTTCTCAGCTCACATACACAAAGACCTCCTTCTGTTGCATCATTTAACATACTTTTGTCCACCACTGCTCTGCAGAGCCTTCTGCATAAGTGTTTAAGTGTGTCGTGATTCTTTAACTGTTGATGTGCAAGATTTTGTGAGTGTCTGCTCGAATGTTCCTGTGCAAGTGAGGGTGTGAACTGTCAACCCCTGTTAGCGTCGTACAACTGTGCCTTCAGTTGTCCTCAGGACTCTCAGTGTGTACACGTCTTACGCTCATGTGAATAAGAGAGGGCTCTCAGTAGGTGGACAAAAGGCCAGATGGGATTTTTCACAAAGCTCTCGATTTTGAATGAGTCAAACATGTGTCTTGTAGGAACGACACATCCCTGAGTGGCCGGACGAGGACGTACAGAGTGAAGCATTTCTGCCTCACTGCACAGCGGCTCTGTGTCGCTCTGCTGTGTCTTTAAAACCAAAAGACTACACTGCACCAGCACATCCACTGACTGAGGTGATGCTTCATAACAAGTCTTCAAACCTAAACCATAGACTGTACGTAAAAACTGCTGTGTCAAAAAGCCCATATGAGAATTTTCTGATAAGATGCTCCAATCAGCAGGATGACGTTGGTCTGTGCCCGTCAAAGATGACTCACGATTACATTAAAATTCATACGAAGGTTTGATCTGCCACCTGTCTGGGTAAAGTTTAGGCAATTAAAGTTCTAGGTTAAAGTTACAGATGGTCCGGGGCACAGGATACGTACGTGAGCCCAGTGCTGTCTGTTGCAAGGAGTTGCGATGCAAGCTGCTGCTTCTGGTGACAAAGAAACATCCACCCACATGGTTCCTCCTCCTCATTATCATCATCATAATGGCAATACATTTATTCGGGGAATCAAAAATTGAGCAGTACTGATATACAC